AAAGCTGATTTGGATAATAATTTTTCAGGCTGTTGGGTAAGAATAAGAGTTCGTGCTAATCCCACATGCATTGATAATAGGCTAACTTTGGTTTTATTGGTCAGGCACTAATGTGAAACCGAGTTCATTTGACCCCAAGATTGTAAGTCTCAGTTTCTGCATCTGTAAAAGGGTTACTTTGAAGTCACCAAGTTTGAAACAATGGCTTTCATAATGGTCAGTGCAACTTGTGAACAATACAGAGGAACCCAGAGGGTACCGTCCACTCTCACTTCCATAGCCACAAACCAGGTAAACTGCACTGAGTGGATCAGGCACACTCAAAACTTGGTTCTCGGTGCCCACCACCTATCCTGTGCCACCCAAAAGGTCAGGCACTGAAGACACAAACGACCACATGATGCGATATTGCCCTTACTCTTGTATTACAATAAACTCTGTGAGGCAAGTGATCACATCTGAGACCTGAAATTTAGTTAGCAGGGGGAATATGGCCAATTTGGCCAGGCAAATGAGTCTTTGGGATATTCTGGGGGAGTTTAACACACACACACACACACACACACACACACACACACACGCACTTCAATTCAGTTTAGACCATTGGTTCTGATGTGTGACTGATTATCAAATTTACCCAGGAAATACTCTACAATTACGTGTTCCCAAGCCCTAACAACCTTCATCTACAACATTTGATTCTGGGACCAACCGTGTTGTGCCACCATTGTCGTATATGACAGCCGGTAAACCGGGAGAAAGTGTGATCAGGCCAAATTAACACTCCCAGGAGCTCCACCTGCTTGAAGCACATGCTATCAGTGTGGCCTGATGGTGATGCTCAGGACAGAGCCTGTCCATTACAGCGAATTCACCCACTTGGGTCCTTGATGGGGCAATGAGAACGGGCCTCAGAAGAGCAGTTATGTGAGGCTGTCGCTGGTTCCCTCTTTTAGGAGAAAAGTGGGTTTATGCAGTTATCATCACACATGGTCTCATTATTTTACACACGAAGGACTGAAACAAGTATATGACAAGTTCTCATCCCGAAGAACTTACTTCAAATCCTGTTTCCACAAAATTAGGAGAAATCTCGGTATATCTCAGTAAGAGGACTTAGAGGGAGGAGCTAGGGGAATTCTCCCTCGGGAGATCCCTCTCCACAGAAGTGTGCATACATTTCTGTCCCTCTCTCCCTCCCTCACTTCCTCCCCCTCTCTGTCTCTCCCTTTCTCTCTCTCCCTCTGGCTATTTGTGTGTGCACCTACGTGTGTGCCTTACGAGTGTGTGCGCCTGCGCATGCGCATGTGCTCAGCGTCTCCCGAAACTTCTTTTCTCAGAGCAGCCAATTTTGTGTTGTTCACTAGAGTGCCTGAGTCCTCTACGCTTAGCACTCAAGTGGAGATTAGTCACTTTTCTATTGCTCTGACGAAACCTGTGACCAAGGCAACTTTTAAATGTTCAACTTGGAGCTCGCAGCTGCAGAGGGTTAACGTCTATTACCGTCTCGGTGGGGAGCCTGGCAACATGCTGGCACATGCAGGACCAGAGCAACGACTGAGTGGGGAGACATAGCGGGAGTGGTGTGGGCTTTTGAAACCTCGAAGCCAACCCTCAGTGACACACCCCCACAAGACCACTCCTCCTAATCCTCCCCAAGCTGTTCAATCAACTCAGTGAAGCATCTGAGCCCTGTGGAGGCCATTCTCACTCAAATCACCACAGGGGCAAAGACAGTATCTATCTTAAATATATGCTTGAGAGATCAATATGGGATAGTGACATCATTGATCGATTTCACTTCAGTTTTCCCTTATTCTTACTGAGAATATTCATATTCAAAACACATATTCAAAACACTGTGTCCAGGGCTGGAGAGATGGCTCAGAGGTTAAGAGCACTGGTGGTTCTTCCAGAGGTCCTGAGTCAGTTCCCAGCAACCACATGGTGGCTCACAAAACACTGTGTTCTCTTTTGGTTTCTAACTGAATTCCACAGGGCCCTGCTTTGATGTGGGCTACTCTTGGGGTTGTCTACTATGCCTTAGAATTATATTACACCCATGAGCATGGGACAGTTGCACAGGAGAAGAGAGATATTAGGAGGGGGAAAGTTATTGTGTCACAAAAAACAAAAAAACAAAAAACGTTCCAGAGGCATCCACATCATCTAAGGAACCTAGACTATTAATGACAATGGGGCAGAGAAGCAGAATGGCTTTGTAGAGTTCATCCAAGCCTGTTAGCCATACTTCCTGCCATACACATGGCTGCTAAGAGGTGCTGAGTAAGGCAAATGTAAGAAAAGCAGCACCGGCTCCTCCTCCCACTGCTCAGACCTTGGTGGTGTTTGCCCAAGAGTGAGAGCTGATCTGCACTGATCTCAAAATGGGCATAAAAACAAATGCCCATGAGACAGCAGTCTTCAGTCTACCAAGAGCCAGGTAACAACAAAAAAGGGCTGCAGGCTATGGGCTAAACTTGAGTTGTACCACAATTTAGTCACCAGGTCATGGGAGTCTTGGCATACAACCATTGAGAGACAGGAGGGAACATTCTAGAACATCTAGGCCAGTAACTCAAATAGTATGGTTTGTTGTTTTGTTGTTGTTGTTTTCCTTTCTCCTCCAGGCATCTACAAAGATGCCTGCCCTGGGGCTTTTATTTTAAATTCTAATAAATTATTTCCCTTGACCTTCCATTTGAGTCCCCTATTAAATTCTTTTCACTAAGAACCCCAAAAAGGGTTCCCAACTTCCCCAGTATCATCTGGTGACTACAAAGCAGCCACCAAAATTCTTGCAACACATACCTTAACAATTCCAAAATACTTACGTGTGTGTGTGTGTGTGTGTGTGTGTGTGCGCGCACGCGCAGACACACACACTTGTTACAGTGACTTCACTTGGAACAACTTAATTATGTACGTCAGTGAAGCAGTCAGCTTGCTGTCTTCACACTTGATGTGCTTGATGTGCTCAGTTTAGGCCATCAGTAAAGCAAGCAGACGGGAGTATAAAAGTCTGACAGAAAAAGATTAAGTTCAAGCCCACAAGCGCGAGCTGGAGCTCATGAGGATGGATGAACACTGAGTGCTTTTTCCTCGTGACATCCGTGGTATGTATGTCCTGCGGAAATGAGAAGCCTTTGTCATAGAAGGAAAACGATGCCTCCTGAACCAGGGGCCAGAGGCAGGCGCTAAGGGGAACCCTGGGGGAAAGTAGAGACTTGCAGAGCCAGTTTGTGTGTGAAGAGGGTGAGGTCGTGGATCAGCGGTAGTGCACGTGAGCTAAAGGGAGGCTACTACTTTCCTCCTGCCCATCAGAACTCTCAAGGCTCCTGTCTGGGTAGTACCCCGACAGGAAACACAGGAAGCAGTTATGTATGGGGAGATGTCGTTCAGCTGAGCCAAGCTTACACGTTACAGAGCTGCTATGCCAAACCTAGAGGAGGGAAGTGGTTTTTAGTTTTCTTGTGAATGCACACACATTTCTTTTATTTTTTTTTTTAAATAAAATTGCTTTTAGTTACTATGCGTGTGGGGAGTTTGTGTGTGAAGGACAGCTTCTCGAAGTCAGCTCTCTCCATCTGCCATGTAGATCAAACTCAGGCAGCCGGGCCTGGCAGTGGAATGCCTGAACCTGTTGAGCTACCTTACCAGCCTTTTCTGTTGTTTCCTAGTCTAGGCCAGGGTTTCACAATGTGTAAGCCCATTACCAGTCCCATTATACTCTCCCATGACCCCCTGTATATACTATATCATTGTCACAGCACCTAAAATTTCTTTCCTTCCCAGCCTGCTTATGGGCTTACCATTTGTGGCTCACAGGGCTTCTCCCTTTTGGTTGGCTTTGGCCCCTGCCTGATACCTTCTTCAGCAGACATTCCATATTCCTGGATTCTCCCCACAATATGCTTGGCTGTACTTTCATAGTCTGTTCTTGGCCTGCAGAGACCCCCATCCTGTCGCATGTGATCTGGCCTCCCATCCTTTTCTTTGATATCTGAGTAGATGTTCTGGTGATCCCCAACCCATTATATTCTTCTTTCTTCCATCTGGAGTGAGGACTCTTTGATATCAGAGATTTTGTCTAGTCAAGCTGTGCACTTCTTTGAGCACTGGATTAGGCTCATAGTAAGTGATCATTAAAGGAGAGGTTAGCCCTGTTATATTAATAAATCCAAATTGTCCTGCTCAGGAGAAAAAAAAGAAAGCCTTTAATACATGTGCCTTTAGAAGGAGGGACACTTAAAGATCCTATGAAGTGAATATAACATTTCCAAGCATCAAATGTAATTAATAGGGGAGTAAGAGATAACTCAATGATTATAAGCCCTGACTACCTTTCCAGACCACCTTGATTCAATTCCTAGCACCCACATGGGGACTTACAACCATTTGAAACTCCAGTTCCAGGGGATCCAATGTCTTCTCCAGGCCTTCAATGGCACCAAGAATGTATTTAGTGCATAGACGTACATACAGGC